AAAAAGAGTTGAGACTCAGTGAGACTTTCTTGGTTAAATATGGTACGTGTAGTAATAGTAATAATAAAGAATTAGCACATTTAGTATTTGCACCATTCTTATAGTGCAACGTTATCAGGAAGGAAGACGCTTTGTTTTACAGACATAATTTCCAATAGTTTTGCATGATTGGGCGATGTGTTTTTGTCACGCACTGCAAAGTTTAATTACATTAAGAGGTGCCCAAGCCCTGTGGCTCTATATTAGGATGTTTGGCCAACTCCACGAATAAGTGTTTATACATTTGGGAGGAAACCTACACGTTTCAGGGGCTAACACTCGTTCCCCGTACAGATAGAATATGGATTGAAACGTACCCACTTGCTGTACTGCCATCATACCCTGGCGAGCCATGAGATGACGACCTTGCAGCCCGTCGGTTTTGGGAGTTTGATGAAAGCGGACAATTCACCAATCCTCGCTGTCTGCCCGGAGCGGGTTCGCCGCACACTTTCTGTCACTTCACGAGCGGCGAGCTCCACGCTCCGTGTCCACCTCCATTTGCTGCCGATGGCCCCTTGCGTGCAGGGCGATCGACACGAAGGAGGCGCTCGGCCTCCCAGGGGTCGAGGCGTTTATCGGCGCTCGCGACGTGCCTGGGATGAACCACAGTGGCATCTTCCACGACGAGACGGTCTTCGCAGACGGCAAGGTGAGTCTGCAGCTGCACGCGCATGTCTCCTCATTGGCCCGTCCATGCATCTCCTCCCCGAACAGAGAGGGAAATAATCCACAGGGCACATCTAGAATTCTTGCTTAATGAAAATAAGCTGCCATCCTTGTCCTATATCTTCAACTGGCAAGTGACATCATGTTGAATTGCGTTGGATAGCCTTGTGTTCAGCATTAACGTGGGCTTTTTGTTAAACTGTAATTTTATTTACCATCAAAATACGCGACGTCTGCTTCACAGCAGACGTTAAAGGTCCCGCAACGACCTTGAAACCGAGGAGGAGGCCCCTGTGCAGGCGTCAGGGTCCACATTTTACAAATTCTAAGATTATACCACTAAATCGAATTTCTCGATTTGGATTAGATATAGCAATCATAGGCGACTCCCTTCTGTGAGATGAAACAGTGATAAGTGGCGCAGTAAACGCTCCTACAAGTGGACAGTTAACTTGTTTGGCTGGATCGGGGGGGGGGCGGTGGAGGGTTCTTGACAATACAAACCTGTTTGTGCGTGGAATATGCTTCACTTTCCAGTCTGTAGTACGAAGCGAAGACATTGTGACATGTCGCATCAATATTGACTTGGTGTTGCGGGTGCTGTGCATCAGGTCACGTGCATCGGTCATGTGATCGGGGCTGTGGTGGCCGATACACAGATGCACGCCCAGCGTGCTGCTAAAGCCGTGAAGGTCACTTACGAAGACCTGCAGCCCGTCATAATCACCATGCAGGTGAGACACTCGCTGGGCGTGCTGGTGACAGTGCACACTGTGGAGCTGGCTATTGTGAGCCCACAAGTGGAGGGTCACACCTCTTGTCTCTCTTCTGTTGTGGCGCTCGGCCACTGTCCAGCTGTAAGAGTGGGACGACGTTTTGTTACTCTGCGTATGTTGGAGGCGGTTAAACTGAGACGGTACAGGCGTGTCGTGTGTCACTGTGTTTAGATCTCCTCACAGTGGCGACACACGCTACCGCGCTCGCGAGCGAATTGTAACGGTTGCTCTCCTTGCAGGACGCCATTGCCCAGGATTCGTTCTATGAGCAGCAGAGACAGATCTTGAAGGGTAACTTGGAGTCCGGCTTTGCTGAGGCAGACCACATTGTGGAAGGTTGGTCCCTCACCAGACACGCTTTGTGGAGACTCTGCATGGCGCCGCGATAACACATGTGCCTGACAGCAAAAAGCCCGAGGTTTGATTCCCACCTCAGGTGGCTTTCTGTGTGGAGTTTGACGTGCGGTGTTGGTGCCGTGGTGAATGTTGACGTGCGGTGTTGGTGCCGTGGTGAATGTTGACGTGCGATGTTGGTGCCGTGGTGAATGTTGACGTGCGAATTTGGTGCCGTGGTGAATGTTGACGTGCGGTGTTGGTGCCGTGGTGAATGTTGACGTGCGATGTTGGTGCCGTGGTGAATGTTGACGTGCGATGTTGGTGCCGTGGTGAATATTGACGTGCGGTGTTGGTGCCGTGGTGAATGTTGACGTGCAGTGTTGTTGCCGTGGTGAATGTTGACGTGCGGTGTTGGTGCCGTGGTGACTACTGACGTGCGATGTTGGTGCCGTGGTGAATGTTGACGTGCGGTGTTGGTGCCGTGGTGAATGTTGACGTGCGGTGTTGGTGCCGTGGTGACTACTGACGTGCGATGTTGGTGCCGTGGTGAATGTTGACGTGCGGTGTTGGTGCCGTGGTGAATGTTGACGTGCGGTGTTGGTGCCGTGGTGAATGTTGACGTGCGGTGTTGGTGCCGTGGTGAATATTGACGTGCGGTGTTGGTGCCGTGGTGAATGTTGACGTGCAGGTGTGTGCCGTGGTGAATGTTGACGTGCGATGTTGGTGCCGTGGTGAATGTTGACGTGCGGTGTGTTGGTGCGTGGTTGAATGTGACGTGCGATGTTGGTGGCCGTGGTGAATGTTGACGTGGCGGTGTTGGTGCCGTGGTGAAGTTTGACGTGCCAGTGTTGGTGCCGTGGTGAATGTTGACGTGCGGTGTTGGTGCCGTGGTGAATCGTGACGTGCGGTGTGGTGCCGTGGTGAATGTTGACGTGCGATGTTGGTGCCGTGGGAATGTTGACGTGCAATGTTGGTGCCGTGGTGAATGTTGACGTGCGGTGTTGGTGCCGTGGTGAATGTTGACGTGCGGTGTTGGTGCCGTGGTGAATGTTGACGTGCGGTGTTGGTGCCGTGGTGAATGTTGACGTGGCGGTGTTGGTGCCGTGGTGAATATTGACGTGCGGTGTTGGTGCCGTGGTGACTACTGACGTGCAGTGTTGGTGCCGTGGTGAATGTTGACGTGCGATGTTGGTGCTGTGGTGAATGTTGACGTGCGGTGTTGGTGCCGTGGTGACTACTGACGTGCGATGTTGGTGCCGTGGTGAATACCGATGGACAGTGTTCTCGTGTGGCGTGTGGATCGGAACGAGTATCGTATTTAATTCTGGAGTAATAAGCTCACTGTAATAATTTAATATAATTGAGTGTATTGCATGAAATTCTAAACAATGTGGAGGTTTTGCAATGTAGCCACATCCGTGCAAGTATGCTGCCCCGAGGAGCCGAGCTGTGGACATGGTTGGTCTGACGTACTGGCTTCCCCTCGCAGGAGAGATACACATCGGGGGCAGGAGCATTTCTACCTGGAAACGCAGTGCTCGCTCGTCATTCCCAAGGGCGAGAATGGGGAGATCGAGATCTTTTCTTCTTCTCAATCGCCCACCAACACACAGGTGTGTCCTGCCCGCGTGTGCACGTACACATTTACATATTCACACAGGAGAGATTGCCTGCACAGCCCCACCGAGTTTCAAGACTCATTTTCAAGACTCATTCACAGTACGGGTCGATGTTTCTACGTGTAATTTACTTGCTACAAGGCACGAGTGTTACCACTGCGCCTCGATTTGATTCCCAAATCGCGTTGGCCAAACATCCCAATGCTAACAAATTACTTGCAGACTATTCAGTTGACATATCATACCGTGACATGCTACTGCGAAAGCCTGGCTTCCCTGGGTAAACAAGTGGACTCACAACAACAACAACAACCGTGATATTAAACAATCGTGCTGGCTGGGGGGGTGGGGTGTGCAGCTGGAGGCGGCGGAGGTGCTGGGCGTGCCGGCGAACCGCGTCTTGTGCCGCGTGCGCCGCATGGGCGGTGGCTTCGGCGGCAAGGGAGAGCCGCGCCTGCATGCTCTCCAACGCCGTGGCGGTGGCAGCGGTGCGGTGAGTGGTGCCGCGCACGCAGCGCACGCAGCGTCGTATCGAACGTCTTAACGTCAACTTGTAACTCGCCGCTGCACGGCATCCGCTCGCTCTCGAAGAGAGAGAGAGAGGACAGCTCAGAGGCGCGAGGAGGAGGATCCACAGACAAGCAGGAAAGCAGCAGCAGCCGGGCGATGAGGAGCCGGTGGCAAGTATTGCCAAAGCTCTGCGGGCCTCTATATGAAACTATATGGAGCAAACCAGAGTACCCAGAGGGGGCGACGCTCTCTCCCAAACGGACAGAACAGGTGGAGTCCACATTTCTCCTCTCCCGCCTTCTCCTGGCGAGCTAAGATACAGCTCCTCCTCAAAGCCCAGGGGAAGGAAGTTGGACAAAAATGTCAATGATTCACCAATCCTCACTTCCTCCACAGTGCTGGATAACAGGCATGTGCACAAAGTATTACATTTAGAATTACACCCGGCACACACGAGGAAATCCACTTGAGCACAAGGGTTATCTCTCGCATGCAACAGCTGTGGTTCATCATATGTGGTGGAAATGGAGATTATAGTTCCTCCCAGCGTCACGTGAGACACTGACGCCAAGATACAGCAGCTCAAGCTCGCGATCTCACATCCAGGCCGCATGGGGACTCCTCCAGATAGTGGGTATCAGCCAACGTCGCCACACATCTCTTGTGTCATGCCTTCGCTTTTGCTTGTTCTGCGTGTTTGACTGAACACTCGGCTTTTGCGATTAGAGTTTACGACACGCAAAGTTGTGGAGCCCGCATTCATTTTTCCATTGGGAAAGGTTTCCTCGTCACATGCGGATTTAAATCTCTCAGCTCTTCAGCGGCGGTCTTTTTAAAAGCTGGGATTTGGCGTGCCCACGTGACGTTGCGTCTCCACGGGGAAGGCTCAAACTCTCCCCGGCACCACGACGCCCACGGTGAGACGCGGGCGAGCACGAGCCGCGAGCCCACGGTGCTGTGTGCTGCTGTGCGTGGCGCAGGCTGGGCCGGCCCGTGCGCTGCATGCTGGACCGCGACGAGGACATGCTCATCACCGGGGGCCGGCACCCATTCCTGGGCAAGTATAAGGTACTGTCGTGCAGATCCTCCGCTGCTTTGCTACATTGTATCTCAGGATAGTTACTGCACAGATCCAAAGTGGAAAAAGGACAGAGTATATTTGTCATGGCTGTGTTGCAGGTGGGGTTCATGAACGATGGTCGAGTGATCGCACTGGATGTGGTTATGTACAGCAATGGCGGCAACAGCCTGGATCTGTCAGCTTCCGTACGTATCCCAACTCTACATGGTGCCATCTTCACACCACCTTTGGTTTATATAAAGCAAGGAACTGCATTCTCGAGTTCCTGCCCTTTTCACGGCTGGGAATTATTCCATCACCTCTAGTGCTGCCAAATGTAACTCCCACTGCTCCGATTAACATGGTTGGCTATGTACGGTGCGAAAGAAGTTCAATATATAGTGTACATATATGGTTTTCTCAAACCTCGCACTTAAAAAATCTAAATAATCCAAAATAGAATTGAGAGACCATCCATAAATGCAACGGAATTTTTTTTTATCTTGAATATTTTCACTGGCTCTAAATCTAACAGTAGATGGCAGTTTAGACGGCTTGAGTCTTAACCGGTCCCTGCCCGGTCCCTCTGCGCACCTTTCCAGAATTCAAGGTAGCATATCAACATCCCCAGTCATCCTGGGCGGCAGGGTGGCATCGTGGTAACACTTTTCCTCGTGGCAATGCATTCACCTTCCTGTGGCGTTTGTTCTCCGTCTGTTCTGCAGAGTGTGTGGGTGAGAGTGTTCGTGTGTGTGTATGTGGAGTTTAGTGGCTTCTAAAATAATATTTCCTTGGAATATTGGCCACCAGGGTGTGGGACATTGGTAACCCTTGTGGATCAATACAAAAGGGGCTTGCATACATACAATGGCATTGGTATTGGCCAAATACCCCAATGTCAAATAAATATCTGCAAATTGGGATTACACACAGCAGCGACATCGCCTGCTGCTATGAAAACTTGGCAGGACCCTCATGAAAAAGAGTCTTGACACTCAGTGAGGTTTTTCTGGGTATGCAAGCGGAATATTTTTCAAAACATCACTTTGGGTCCTTCCCCTCCCGGAATTATTTATTATTGTGCGTCATGTCTACTGCTGTATATTGCTGCGACTTGGCTACACGATGGTCAATGCACCACTGACACTGCTGCTTGTTACTCTCCCCTTGCCACTCTCCTCATTCATATATTATAAAAGTGTCAGAGTTGCTGCACCAATTCAGACTAAACAATATGCCCACAATGCAAGCTGTGTCCTGGCTCTGCTGAGCGGTGCGAGTGCTCTGCGTGGCAGGTGATGGAACGCGCTCTGTTTCAAATGGACAACGTTTACCGCATCCCAAACATCCGTGGCAGAGGCATCGTTTGTCGTACGAACCTCCCGTCCAACACGGCCTTCCGTGGCTTCGGGGCCCCGCAGGGAATGTTGATCGCGGAGAACTGGATCACGGACGTGGCCATGACCCTCAATCTGCCACCCCATGAGGTCAGTGGAGAAGCTGAAATTCTGGATTTTAATCATTGTGTAAAGCTTCAACATGACTTTACGATTGAGCACGTTTGGTGCCCCTATACTCGTACTCATAGGGAAACTGGCGCGTGGAATCCCGCAATGCCATCAGAAATGGCTGTCTTTTTTACGCTACTTAAAGGAGAGTCCCACCCAATGCTAAGCCCTAGTAGCAAAACAACTTAACAAGGCATTTCATTGCCATTTGAGCATCTTTAAGGGAGTTATTGAGTATCCACTACAGTCACAGATAAACAAAGTTGATGTGTTATTTAATTCCACCCTAGATGGGAGGTGTTAACAACACACAGGTGGTAATTGGAATAGATATCCTGCAGATCGTTAGAGGACTCGTGTACTGGTCCGGGCAAAAGGATAAGGGGCCACTAATACGAGGATTTACACTTAGGGCCGGCGCTAGGAGGTACTGGGGTGGGCCCTGCATCACCAAATGTCTCTTGGCACGACCCAAGATCTCTCCCTTCCATAGCCGTGAATCGCTGCTATGGTGGTCCTCCACACAATGGCTCTAGTAGCCCCCCATCCGAATAAAAGCTGGGCCCGGGCCTGGTTCGAGTGTCAAGTCATGAATACGAATGTTGGCTCGTGATCACCCTTGATCCCATCAAAACATCCTGGCAATTGGCTTCTAGGTGCGGCAAGTGAACATGTACAAAGATGGGGACTTGACGCACTTTAATCAGCCCTTGACGGACTTCACGCTGGACCGCTGCTGGAATGAGTGCCTGCAGCAAGCGAACTACACGCAGCGCTGTGTGGACGTAGAAGACTTTAACAGGTACCCCCCGTCTGGCGCTCAAGCCACAGCCACGTGTTACTCTCGTGATGCACGGCGCACCACATGCACGCCAAGAAACTCGCGATCCCAAATTAACACCAGCTATTACAGATGGCCACGCCATTTTAACATTGAGCATTTGTCTGATTTATTCATGACCATTTTTTTAAGCAGCAAGGATGACTTTTCAATCCAAACAAAATGTAGAAATGGCGAATCTGAGAGTGTTTGCCGTTGCTGCTGTGTGGTAGGCATAGCACGGCAGGCTGCCACGCAGCTTCAGCAGCAGCAGCAGCAGCAGCAACGCCACTGATGAGCAAAGCACAGCAGTGCGTTTGTTGGTGTCACGAGGTTACCATGGGATGGCAGGATAGCGCAGTGGGGAAATGTGCCTGGGTTCGATACCTGACTCAGGCACCTTTGTGTGGGGAGTTTTTTTATTTTCTCTTCTGAATGGGCTTCCTCTGGGTTCTTCCGTTTCTTCCGGTATTGCCCAAACATCCCAATGCTGGAAATTCACTGCAATTTGATTACACATGGCACATTTCCCCCTGCCTGCAAAAACCTGGCAGGACCCTCCAAGACTCCTGGGTAAACAAGAATCATAATAATAACAAATGATCCCGACTCCATTTCTTTTTTCCCATGTCTGCCTTGCTAAAGAGATCATGCATCTCAGCCAGCACATACTTGGTTAGAAAGTAACAATGAAATGAAGCTTGAAAACATAATTGCATCTTGAGAGTATTTCGTCAATGTTGTAATAGAGTGCAATCATTCCTGTAATTATTGTAAAGAATTTGACAGTATCAGGATGACAGACGTCGTGTTTGGCAGGCAGAACCGGTGGAGGAAGCGTGGCATCGCAGTCATACCGACCAAGTTCGGCATCAGTTTTACCGCCAAGTTCTTGAACCAGGTGTGTATCACGTGGCACTGGCAGCATTCATGGCGAGCGCGTGGTAAAGGGTCGTGGTTGAACGTGCACACGAAGCACCATGGATGTATAGCGCACACGATAAGGTGGCCCCGTCACAGTGCTCGACTCCGTCACAACGGTGCACTGCTGTCTTCTCACAGTGCCTCTGTGCGCTCCGTGCAGGCCGGCGCGCTGGTCCACGTGTACAAAGACGGATCGGTGCTGGTGGCACACGGAGGCACAGAGATGGGACAGGGCCTGCACACCAAGATGATTCAGGTGTGTGGCCTACCACTGCTCCTCCTTGGCAGGAGCTGTACGTTCGACCAAGGGGAGCGACGATTGAGTGTGGAGGGGTTATTGTCTGTACAATCGTTCGCCCGGGAACTGTGACGCTCTCACAGATGAGATGTTGAGCCAAATGACGTGGCAACGCTGTGAGACTTGCGCCTCACTTCTGGTTTGACCCTTGCGTCATCACGACTGGTCCGCAGTCGTTGTCACTCGTAAAAGTAGCCAAGGGCAGCGTGGAGACCCAACGAGGATCAGTCCGCCGTGGGAACGGCACCGCCCAGCATAGCGCCAGCATGGCTGCCACTGTCGGTGGAAATGACGCAGAAATTTGCAAGGAGCAAAATAACAAGAGGGCTGTCTCTGTTCATAATTTACCTATTCCACTTTGTTGCAATACATTGCTATGCTAATAGCTGCGATCGCAATGTAGTTGTGATCGCACTGTAAAGTTACCTATATCATTGTTGTGTGCATTTATGCGTGCGTGTGTGTACATGTATCACAGGTAGCCAGCCGCTGCCTGGGTATCCCGATTTCTGATATTCATATCAGCGAGACGAGCACAAACACCGTTCCCAACACATCCCCTACGGCAGCCTCTGTCAGCTCGGATCTCAATGGGATGGCTGTGAAGGTATGGCACGTAATAATCCACGATTGTATGGCTGTTGTAGCTTTGAATGCATGCAAACTAGTGGTCATTAAGTAGACCCAAGTCACAGTGGGGTGTTGTGAGAATGGCCCATCAACACGGCTTATCGCTAAAACCAACGCTTCAAGAGGCAGGCTGCCCTGTGGCATTGGAGCCTCCCGGACCTCTCCACGACCCCTTCTCTTCATGGCCAGAGGGAAGATTGTAAAGAAAGAAAATCACGTTTAAGGCATGGCTTCTGTCACGCTTTCCATCCTTCATTTGTCCTCGGAAGTATGTATTTTACGTTTAAAGCCACATAACGAGACGATGTCACGGAGCTCATGAAGCGTGACGGTGCGAGATAATGTAGTGATGTCACTGGGAGGAGAGGGAAGATGGAGGGGAGCCCTGAACGCCGCAGCCATTATAGAGCCAACACTGAGGCGAATGCTTCTAGCGCTGCTTTTTGCGTCCAGGCCTTGGGCGATCCTTTGATCATCAAAGTGGCTATTGTCTCTAGGGAAAGTCCCTCATAGCAATACAACTTAAAACTCAAGTTTTTTTCATTGAGTTATGTACTCCCCTCATTGTAGATTTGAGGCTTTCGTGACTGCAAGGAATATTTTAGACAAACAAAATATTTTTAGACAAACAGATGGGCAGGCTTAATAAGGTTAATGTTTTGAACCTTAAATCTTGACTGCAGGTTTTGAACCTTATTTGGAAAATAATAAAAATGTATATTTAGGCTCCCCGAAGATAAAACTCTTTACCAGGTTATTTTTGTTTTTTCAAAAACGTGGCCCTGGAATCGGCCTAAGCAGCAGGTCACTGTGCAGCTCCCTCCGTCCAGGTGGCCACACATTCGGCCCCGGTGGTGAGACTGGAGTGGGAATCCAGACCGAGCCCCTTGCTCGGTCCGTGAGCGGGGCCGGCTCGGTGGGCAGTGGCCGTGGAGTCGTGGCGCCCAGTGATGATTTACTGCAGAGGGTGTTCTACAGCACGGCTTGCTCTTTCTACTGCTTGGACAACTGCTCAGTAAAATAAAATGTTGTGATTAATCCAGGTCTCGTAATGCATATTTCTTTTTGGTTGTACAACCAACTTGTCCTCTCTGTTGACAAGTGAATATCAAGAATTAAGACGCAGCAAACTGCAATTCTGGACGTTGTTGCCCATGCCCGGTAACTGTGTGCAGCTGCTGTAGAATCTGAGTGGCTCTGTCTCCTGTGCAGATTGCCTGCTCAACCCTCCTCGAGCGCTTGGCCGTATTCAAAGAAGAGAACCCTTCAGGCTCCTGGCGCGACTGGGTCTGAGTTCCTTACCCTAACACTGCCACAATCGAGTTGCTCAATCCACTGATAGTCAACTATTTGTCAGTAACAGTGCTGTGCAACACCAATGTTGATCACAAAACCATTCATCGACACATCATTAAAGTAATGTAATTTACGTGAAATATTTAACAAAAAAACCTAACGTGGAGCATGCGTCTTTTAACAAACTGCCACACAAACCCTTGGCTGTTAGTATTCATCTTTGACCATGATGTGGTCGGTTTTAAGTGATTATTGTAATGAAAATGTTGACTGTGAATTATTATTTGTGTACCTTATAAGTCATACTGTACCCCAATTGGCATTCTACTGAATTATTAAATGTGGTTGGCTTGTGCTCACAGGTGAATAAGGCTTACATGAACCGCATAAGCCTGTCCACAACTGGTTTCTACAGGTATGAAGTCTTGCATCCTCAAGTCAGATACCTTAAGTTACTGCGTTACTTCCTGATATTGTTACAATGGGAGTTCTGTTTGAAAGAAAAACATTGCAGTCGCGCACACAGTGTATTCACACAAAATAGAATGTCCACCGTGGAGATTGAGTGATAAGATCGGCCCATGTTGCAGGAGCACGACAGATGTCGTCGGACCATGTGGGATGCCAACTCTCATCCAGACGTGGAGAGAACGAGGCTGATGACAATGCGCACTGCGTGTGTTGCATTCACAGGACTCCAGACATTTATTATGACTGGGAGAAGAACGAAGGCAAGCCATTCAACTACTTCACAATCGGCGTGGCCTGCTCGGAGGTGGAAGTGGACTGCCTCACCGGAGCCTCCCAGGTGAGGTTCGAAAACACAGTTTGAAACAGTTTTGTCTCTTTCTCCAACTGTGCCCTGATCATGCTATCGGGATCATTAGGCAAATATTTTTTAAGAATCTCCCAAAGCACCAGCAACCCTTCCTGTTAGAGAACAGCAGGAGAAATATTTATCCTGCCTCAGCAGTTCGCCTGCTGTATTTTTTCACCTGAAGACGATTACTTGTGTTGCAATCAAAACGTCGTGATTTTTAAAATTATTTTCTTTATTATTTTTCTATCTCCGTGACTTTACCAAAAGACCAAAAGAGTATGAATTCCTGCAGTCACGAAAGCTTTAAATCAAGATTTGATCACAGAACGACTTCTAGTAATCAGTTCTGAGGTTTACCGGTTATCGTGTAACAAGCCCAAACAAGCCGAGTCCAGGGTGTGAGCACTTTAAGGTTTTGTGGACTCACCATGGGACCAGACGCACGGCAATATAGTTCAATGCCCATGGGCACCTCGTCTTCTCCGTGGGGAAGAAGCAAAGTACAGGCTGCTATCACAAGGACACAACGGCGCTGCCCCGTGCCTGCTTCAATGTGTGAGGTCACTGTGTAGCATTGTGTAATAAAAGGACTCAGACACTTCTCTCTGACTTCGTGTCCTTTATTGGGTTCTTGTCTTCTCCCACACGGCACTCTGTTATAACACTGTATTTGTAGCCCCCGGCTGTTATCGCTATTATAGCTTCCTTTCTCTCCCCGCAGACTCTCTGCTTCGTCTACTGTAACCTCCGTTCTCTCCCTGCAGACTCGCTGCCGACTCCCTATGCAGACCCCCGCTGCTAACCCTATATGCAGACCCTCTTGGCTGCTACTCTGTATGCAGACCCGCTGCTAACTCTGTATGCAGCCCCGCTGCTGACTGCAGCCTCCTCGCTGCTTCGGGTCGGTCACCGCTGGCCAACGGTGCCGATCCTCGCTCCCCTGTGTTCGTGGCGATCTCGCCACCCTCCGCTTCGCCCTTCGTGGCCTCTCTCGTTCCTGGTCCCCCGTCACTCCTCATCCTCTTCCGGTTCCCCTCCTTCTATAGCTTAACCCCTCTCCCCCCACGTGACCTAACTCCTCCCCTCATGACGTCACCTCCGGAGGGCCGTTTACGCCCGCATTATAATTGTACTCTGTGTGCTGCAGTCACTCATGCTCGTGTCTCTCTCTCTGCAGACTCTCCGCACCGACATCGTCATGGATGTTGGCAACAGCTTGAATCCAGCCATCGATGTCGGCCAGGTTTGCGTCCATCCTGCATCAGTTCTGATTTTATATTTCATCAGAGCACTACGCGCAGTCTGATCTACTGATGCATACGACATTGTACATCCCGGTCGCATCGCTCGCAGGACACAAATCAGCATTCTGCACCGGCACTGCACGCACGGCGCCGGAATCTCATGCATAACTTCTTCATTACCGGAGCACCTCCTGAATTGCTCAGAAGTTGCTTCTGGGGGGAGCAAAGGGCAACATAGCATGGAGTAGTTTTGATGAAACGCTTCTTGGACATTACCTACCGCGTGAGAGCCAGTTCCCTATGCATGCGCGTGGATGCAGATCGAGGGCGGCTTCATGCAGGGCCTGGGCCTCTTTGTGCTGGAGGAGCTGCGCTACTCTCCTGAGGGGTCGCTGCTCACACGGGGGCCCGGCTCCTACAAGATCCCTGCCTTCGGGGACGCCCCCGAGCACTTGCACGTGTCGCTCCTGCGGAGTGCGCCCAACAAACGCGCCGTGTACTCGTCCAAGGTACGGCGGAGATGCACGGCCCGCACGCGCTGCCGGCACTAAACACGAGAGGAGCTGAGTGCAGTGTGTCAACACGTTAAGAGCCACTTCACGTGGGCGAGATAAACAAGATAGGGTCCAGAATTCTAAGAGTTGTACTCTGACGGAACCCTGTCACTTCAGCACGACAGACGTCCCATGAAACACTTCCTGAGAGATGCGTGATATTCCCATACGACACGTCATACGTAGAGCACACACTACACGCGACATAGTACACAACACAAGACATAGAGATCTCTTACACCGTGCATGCAACCTTACATACATACATTACGCAGCAAATGCCAATCTGGCATATCCGCGAGTAGTTGCCCTGCCTGGGCATTGATGCATTTCATAGCAAGAAGGCTCATTCCGTGCCCGTTCCGCGAGCGCGTTGCTGGACGTGCCGTGTCCCGTGTGCGGCACGCAGGCCGTGGGCGAGCCGCCCCTGTTCCTCGCCGCCTCCGTGTTCTACGCCATCAAGGACGCGGTCCGCGCGGCCCGAGCTGACGCAGGCCTGGCGGGGCCCTTCTGCCTGGACAGCCCGGCCAGCCCCGAGCGTGTTCGGATGGCCTGCCCCGACCGCTTCACCAAAATGGTGCCTTCACACACACATTGGTTCAGTATGGATTTTGGGTTATGCCATTAAGCGATCTCGACAAATTTTGTCAAGACCCTCCACCCCACGGAGATAAATTGTCATGCGTACGATAATTTAATGCTTCAATTGCTGTTGTCAGCTCACTCACTGGTGAGTTGGAGAACAATTCTCACAGCCAAATTTCGCAATTGGATACGATATCTCACTTCAAACTACGTCAAGCATATTTCAAACAATAAATAACTTATTAAACAATGCACGTGACAATTTAATTTGTTTGCTTGTTTCAGGTGGTGGAGAGTTTCGTGATGAAAATCTGGCCAGGTCACTTCGTGGTCGAACCCAAAAGAACCGTTATGAAGCAATGTAGTTTGTGTTAACCAAACATCTCCACACATAGAACTCTGCTGAAAATTAGGGTTTGAACACGGTGTGGCTTTTTTGGGTAAATTATCCTGTTCACTGCCAGATTTAACTTCAAATGCGAAAACTACGTATATTTTCATACTCAAAAGCCATTTTAGCAATTTGTCATCGATTTTGTCCTGAAGTAGAGTGTGACGCCATCTTCACCAAATCAGATAGCCAGTCATAATTTAGGGGAGAGGCTTATCACGTGACCTCAAAGTGCAGCTCGTTGGCACGCGCACCGTGGTGATGCCCTCTGTTGGACGTCTTTATTTTGCAGGTTCCTCAGGAGGAAGAAGCTGGCGCTGTGCCCTGGGCCGTGCGAGCCTGACAAGCGGCAGGCGGCACCCTTGCTCGCCTGCTTGGGGAAGCACGGGCGGCAATGCCGGCTTGTGTTTAGAACAGCGACGTCGATACCAACACGCTTTCCAATCCGCAGCTGTTCTTTGGTGTGCAGGATAATTTCGTAACTTTAACACTATCAAAAGCCATTTTCACGGCAGGGTGATGTAGTGGTAATGCTCATGATTCGCAGCAAGAAGAGCCTGGGTTCAATTCCTTATTCGGGCACCTTTCTGTGTGGAGTTTGTACATTCTCTTCATGTCCTGCATGGGTTTCCGGTTTCCTTCCATCGCGAAAAATCCATAGCGTAATTATTGTTGACCAAACATCCAATTGGGATTACACAGAGCAATATCGCCCCCTACTACAAAACCTGAAAGTCGTGAGACTAAGTGAGGCTTTTCTGGGTAAATACACATAATAACAATTACCGTCATAGGTTTTAATTTTTCAAAGTGTCCTGCGTATGGATTTTTGTGTTTTTGCAATAGACAAAAATTCAAATGTGGGTTTTTAAATATTTGGAAAATTCTGAAAATGATTTACCGTAATTTTTATTTTACCTCATATTATGGAAGTGTAGTAACATTGTTTGGCAACATCTTCCAGACATTGTCGATGTATTGATATGCATGCAGCTGGTCTGATAGCCGTGTTTGGAAATGTTGACAAGTATTGGATTGTTTCAATGATGTGATCACTCTTTTAAAGTGTAAAAAACCATTCCTAAAACCATTTCAGCCAACAACCATTTTAATTACGTGCCAAAATCTGAATTCTAGAAAAATGTACAATTACAAAGGTATGAGACTTGCTTGTCAGTGAATGTTTATTTATAACATTTTGTCTGCTGAAATACTTAATAAGTGCAACACATTCACACGACAAAATCCATTAGTAGGAAAGAACTTGTGTCGAGTGAAATACGATAAGTATTTACCAGTATAAAGTATCACTGCCTCAAACGTTTTGATAACAAAAAACAAGGTGACCGTGTGGTCCAGGCCTGAAACATTCTACAATTCTCTTTAAAATGTATCACTAAAGAGGAAGAAAATAAGATGTAAAATACTGTCATTTTTGGGCTGTAGGTTGCATGTAATTGTAGGTGTTGCCATACGACGATTCACATGTGTTTGTCATGGTGTCTTAAACTGGAATGCATTTTTCTAATTATTTTAAAATTCAGCTTTAATATAAAATGATTACAAGACAAATTAAATGTTCTACAACATGACTTATAATACAATTCACAACACATCTTTCAATAGTTCTGTGGCAACTCTTCCTTATTACCTGAAACTTCATTTTTGTTTTTATTCCTCCAGCATATCCCCTCAGCTTTTTCACAATCTCACCTGGCCAGGGTGAAGCAGTCTCCACGAGCATCACCAGCGAACTCTGTCCTGCGCCACACTAAGTGCATGCTGGGATTACGTCTCTCTCTCACCCTTTCACTGCTTCCCCGTAGATCTCAATAATTCTGCCAACCATTACAGTTCTTCTCCTTTCAAAGCAGGCCAACTCTCCTACGTTCTAAGAGGATGGGACACGCAGAAGAGTTTGGTTTCGCATATTCCTTTCAATTTTTAACTCCACTCCATGGAAGTCTGCTTCGGAATACCTGTGCTTTACATTTGAACTTTAAGATTTTCAATTAAAACATTGCTAAGCATGTGCTAATCTTCTTTGATTTAATAAAGCATCACAAGCAACACGTGTTACTGGGTGATGGTTTACATGTCTAAACATCAATGCAATGTTAAGGGGCCGTCCATAAATGACGTCACGCAACTGGGGGGGGGGAGGGGGGTCAGACATGTGACGGGGGGGGGGGGGTTTGAGAAATGTGACGTCACATCAAAATGCGCAACTTTAAATAAATATAGACAACACGTTCTACTTAATTAAATAGACTTTTTAATGTTTTCTCCTACAACATCAGAGTGCAGCGCCACATTAAATACGCACTACAATGACAATAGTTTAAAGCGATTTTAAGCACGTTTTATTTTCAAAATGGAAATATGGTTGGGGGGGGGGCAGAGCTTTGTGACGTCATATTTGAGGGGGGTCTGACTTTTGTGACGCCGTGTGACGAGGCGGGGGGGGGTGAAAAATCGTCCAAAATCTCGTGACGTCATTTATGGACGGCCCCTAATGTAATAAATGATCTAACAATGGTAGATACGTGCCGGGGGGAAATGAGTCTCGACAGATGGCATACCGAAGTAAACAAACCAATGGACTCTCAAACCTTCAACACCAAGTGGGGGGGGGGGGGGGGGAGGATGTGGATGGCGACCGGAGTCGCTTCGTGGCTGATGCTTCAGCTGCAAGGAGCGGTGGCTGATGCTTCAGCTGCAAGGAGCGGTGGCTGATGCGTCTGTGCAAAATTGCTCGTTTAGATGTCACAAAAAACACGACAACACCCTGAAATACGGCAACGTTCCTGAGAAAAATCTTACTTGGCATCAACTCGGTTGTAAGTTCAATTTCAAGATCCTGTGTATCCAGGTAAGACGAAGTCACTCTTGCAAATGAGACTTTCATTGCCCCTTGAGTTCTCACCTCGTCAAAACATTAATATACTCAAACCAGAAGGCATGCGAGTTTCTATGAGGGGATAAGATAATCGAGGGCAAGTCGGTTGAATGAGAAACAAATCCTGTGCGTTCATTAGTCGTAGAATCTATTATGATCGCCAGCCATGGCTGCTGGATGAAGGACTCCCCAAGTCGCCACCACCTCTCACGATCCTGCAATGTAAGAATCAGCATACCACCTGCACAAACTCTTTACTCCCATCTCCTCGATGGACATGCTCTTAGACACATTTCATTGGTTGCAACCCCATTGTTATTCTTGACCATGAGCCATCATCCGTTCTCGCACAGTGTTCTGGCCAAACCCACCTCCACTCACTTTTATTTACGGTGTCAATGTATGTTGAACTTCTTTTGCACTGTTAGTAGCCAATCGTGCTAACCGATGTCATTAACCTGTGTTTTCCAATCCACGCGTTCCACCTTTGTCCCTCAATGTAATTGTCACCTTGCATCTCTCCTGGCCTATTGGGGGACTTTTCAGTTTTCGTTAAATTTTGTCATTAATGTGTTTCTGATCCGTACGTCATCGCAGGCAGCACGCACTCATTAAAATCGTTCATCTTTCCAAAAGTACCTGCTCTCATCCACCGCTTTGTTTCACGTTTTCAATGCCGGTCCATTAAGCAGAACATCTCTTGTTATTAATCAGGGTTTAAAGGGAAGGAAAACTGTATGAATTGTCTACACATTGGGCACTGCCTGAAATATTGCACACAGTGATCGCACAAGCACGTGTGCCGACAAGGTAGGAGCACCCGGTTCACTTTGGCATTCTGGCAAACCACGCAGTCTCGACATGCGCCGCCCTGTCCATCACCGTCCTCCTCCTCCTGGGCAGCGACTTGCCCCTCCGCCCTGACCTCGGGCAACACCTGTGAGGTCACGCCCTCATCGCTTTGCGAATCCTCGGGCGCATCTGTTGACATGTACAGCCTCTGTAAATGGAATAACAAAAAGGTTACGTCTTGACATTTTAGAATATAAAATCACGATAATGAAAATGAGGAAAATGAAAAATGGATGAAAACGCAAACAATTCAAAATAAAACAGACCTTTGTAAAATAAATCACGAAACAATGAGAACACCCATCAGGGAACACACAAAAGATTGATTAAGAGGTCACAATATAGGTGCATGGCAGTAGTTCATTAGGTTATCTTAGTAAATGACAAATAATAGCTTTGGAGGGGAAAGTTAGAACCATGAAGCCTGTTTGCGACAGAATTGTAACGAAACTTGCAGAGAGATTGTATACAGAGACTCTACAGCAGAGACATGAATATACCTCAGTAATACTTTGGAGGAAATTCGACACGGTGGCAACATTGAATGGACATGGCTTCATGATGGCATATTCTCTATGTGTTTTGTGTGTAATCAGCATAGAATACGTTTTAAAATAATCATGAAAATAGCAATATAGATTTGAAGCTTTCGTGACTGCAGGAATCCCTACTCTTTGGTTATTTCGGTAAAGAACCAAAAAGTAGCAATATGGATAACCAGACAATTTATCCTTCATATATGTCTACACATCATTATTTTGTATTGTGTATGATTTTGTATTGAACTTGTAAACATTTCTTAAAGAGGGTCCTTGCTGTAACATCTGGTAGTTCAAAAGCATTGATTATTGCAAGCCTGACTGGTCCAGAGTATGCTTTTGCTGAATTAATTAAGAAGCCCATGAATCTGATGGGTCGTGGAAGAAATACTTTCATTTTTATGTGAAGATAGATATATGCAGGATACATGGTCTGCTGCTCATCTATTTTACTACTTACTTTCAGATCATACGAGAGCCCAGAGTGTGTGAGCAACAGCTGGTGCAGCACCCGGCAGGACACGCTATGTACAGGGTCTGGCAGGTGCACGCACGTCAGCAAGGCCACCTGTAACGCAGTGGCACCGTTAAAGCCACGCAAAGGACACCGAATGTCTATGCACAGTTTCCTCACACTGTGCACACCCGTCACATCGATGTCTTACAACACTGCCCGAGGACCACCGCCTTACGCTCTCGGTATTGCGAAGAGGCTCTGTGCTGTGTTCGGACCTGGTTCAGGTTGCCGGCCTCGATCTAGCGGTAGACTTGATTTATTAATGTGTTGTCTTTCATTCTCCAAAATCTGTTTTCATACATGCGACAGTGGGATACCATACTCCCTGGTTCTGATTCATCCACAAGAGAAATATGCAACTTTGCTTGCTTATGTGGTTTGGAATTCGCCTTTGCATAATACTGCATTTCACCTGCAAGTTACTCAAACAGATTCAACAACACAGAGGTGTACAGAACTGTATGTACAATTATCCAGACCACCAGCTCAAAAGAACTGAATGTGTGACCTTGTTCTCATTTTGACTACCAACTAACTCAAAGAGCTGAGAAAATATGGTCATCCCAACAAGTAGTAGTGAAGACAAATGTAGACCGGTTTTGTCCTGATTAGGATTCCTCAGCACAGTCATCATTGTTCACTGCTGAAAAATGCCTCTTGGAGTCCCATATATAGAGAGGACTTGTACTTTTACATTATGGGAACCCCTATTAGCACTTGCTACAGAAATAATAATTACAATCTGTAAATGACGAGAAAATCCAGCACAGCCATCTGCATGTCTCTATTGTGATGGACATTGTCGTCATTTACAGATTCAAATTAACTGACTCCAGGCAAATGACTGCAAGTACGCTGTGTGCGAGGTGTCTGGAATTTGCCATCTCCATTACCATGTCCGGAGCCCGCGGTTGTGGCCGGTGCTCGGCGTGGGTGAGCAGCACGACGAGCGGGTAGCGGAGTCTGGGCACGCCGCCCAGGTCTCCCCCCCGCAGAGCGTCAGGCAGCTCCACTCTCTGCAGCACCTTCTCATCTTTTGATATTCTGACAAAGGCATTAAGGAGACTTGCAAAACACTGTTATTTGTCTTTATCAGTTAAAACACGCCTATTAATTCAATCTCTGGTAATATTTGTGCCTCACAACAACAACAAGGGCCCAGGTTCGATTCCCAACTTGGCTGCCTTTGTGGAGTTGTATGTTCTCCCCCTGTTCTGCATTGGTGTCCTCCATGCGTTCCTCCCATCACAAACAAAAAAAAACATAGATTGTAACTGGTATTTGCCAAAGATCTCCATTATTAAAAATAACCTATCATACTAGCTTTACTACCCGGCTTCGCCCGGGACTTGGATCCACCACGCCCGGCCGCCTTTGTCTCCCCAGTGGCGATGTTCACACACCACAGCAGTTACTCGTTTGAGGCTGAGTCGACTTAGGGGAGGCCCAGGACCGGTTCAAATAATCGTCACCGGTGGTGGCCGTGAGCAGGAATCGAACTCGGGTCGCCGGGTTCGTAGCGCAGCGCGCTAACCACTACATTACAATGCGTTACACTTCCACATGCGCGTGTCACATGACAGATTTGAGGTCACAGCTCACTTGCCGTGCAAAAAATATATGCATTATTGAGTTCCACCCCCCCCCCCCCCCCCCCCCCCCAAAAAGTGTATTTTATAATTTTTGCATGGTGTACAGTCTGGAAAGTACCCACATGGCAAATTTCCAGTTTTGTGCATGTCGGGAAGTACGCTAAACATTTTGAACAGACAGATATATTCACAAATTGCCTTTTATATATATACCATATGTAAATAATGTGAAATGAGTCATCAGCAAGCAACTCATGGCATTTTGTAGCAATACGCATCAGATTGGCCATCAACACAGGATAAATGTATTTGTTGTGTAAAAACCCAAGACATTTTGTGACGTGTAGGAAAGATCAAGCTGTAAAAATCTAAAATCAATGTACAAACAACATTGTATATAACAGCGGGAGGAACTGTGAAATGAGCAACGTGACCAGGGGAGACTGAATCTCGCTGAAGGATACGCAAATTGCTCCCTGTGGAGGTAATCACCTCCCAGCGCCGTCTCCATCTGCTGCGGGGAGCGGAGCGTTGGGAGGCGGCGCGCGTGGCCCTGCAGCACGGCGTGCACGGCGCCCAGCGCGCAGCCCCAGTAGCAGGTGAGGACGCACGGCTCCAGGCAGTGCACGGCCAGCGTCACGCCACCTGCACCAAGCCAAACACGATGGGGTTGTTGTGTCCATTCATCTCTTACGTGCCACAGACTATCAACGTGACTTACGAGGACATGGGAAACACAACAGATCAGGTAAACAACAAGAGATGACATAGGACATGATTGATGTTGTGGGGCATAACAGCGCAACCTACGCTGTGCCCTTCACGCAGACCCATTTTACCACTGACAGTAGCCAGCCCAGTGGCTGCCCAAACAATGCAACTGCGTTCTCTCCCAACAAACCACTCCATGCCGTGCCTCTCCGCTTGCTGTACTCATGCACCTCCCATGCAATCTGCTTCTCTCACTCCAAATATCCCTTGTGCCATGTCAGTTCCACATATATCCATGCGGAACCCATCTCCACTTCTCTCTATGCCATGTCTTTGCTTCGTCCAATCCACACATCTCTCGCTCTGGCCATCTCTGCCTCCCTTTCTCTATGCATCACCTACATGCTTGACAATGTATGCATTTTATACTGCTCACTTGACACATTCCCAGACTGCACTTGTCTACACTGGTTCTCTACATGGCATGGTACAAGACATGTCACAGTGACCATGTAAGTCTGCGGTGAGAGGCGGAGACAGCACAGCGTGGGAGAGGCACCGATCGAGAGAAGCACAGCACAGAGAAGCCACGATGCAGCGTTAGCAACCATCACCCTACGTGGAAGGAGGCAGAAGATGGATACAGATCGGAGATGTGTGCAGAGCCGGGAGAGGTGGAGAGAACAGTGGAGATGTGTGACGCGAGAGTAGCAGCAACACCGCACGGAGATCTATTGTGCGACAGACGTGGCGTGTTACTATTCATTGACCCATGACTGACGCGCCATTCATGCCACAATGTTTGAGCAGATAGAAGTTTTTAAAAACTCACAAAATTTGAGATGTATTGTAAAATATTGTGCATATATGCTTTAGCAAAACATGTATACATTGTCTTCGAGGATACAAGCACGTTGGAACTCACCGGCGAGGGAGGCCGTATTTGAATCCGCTATGTCCAGGGCAAACACGCTGGAGACCCGCTGCATGCTGGTCTCGGGTACAATGGGCCAAGCGCCAAGATCTCCGGAATGATGGTCGAGAATGACAGGCAGACCCCAGTGCCACCCCAGCCTGACGGGTACATACGCGGCACGTTAGAGTGCTCCACTCATCCTTCAATATCTTGGAGCTCTAAACGTGAAGAACCCAGGGCATCTTAGAGATGGGCGCAAGTCAACTTTTAAATGTTTACGTTTAAATTGGGATATTATTAATAATAAAGGGTTTCTGCCATCATCAGCCTCTACTTCAGCTTATGCTGGCTGACTTTGCACCAGGTTGGCCCTGGAATTCATACAGGGCAATGTCCACAACTAGCGGACTGAGTTCTACTGCATCTCACTTTGCAAATTGGTGCAAAGTGGGTGGGGCAAGGCCACAGCGAAGATAATATGCCAGGCTATTCTGAAGTAGCTCTGGCGGCGCATGTGGTGCTATTGGAGGCATTCCAGTGTCTATCCCACCGCAACGCGAAGGGAATTGATACAAAACGGCGTCCACTGCCACCCCCTCCTGAAAAATGGGCTGCCACATTAAGAGGATGCCATCACTGGTGGGACTATCCTGCCTATGGTGGGACTATCCCACACAGCCTACAAACACACGTGCATACACACACACGTTCATGATACAAGATATAGCTTCCTACAGGCACACAGGAACAAAGCACCAAATGTGTTTATATATTGTGTTGCAAGGCACTTTGGGATGCGATGGCATTCAAATACTATTACACACACCAACAACAGCTGCCATTTGGCACGAAGCAGCGTCACCACTGGCACAAGTCCTTGTGTCAGGCTAGGTGCACTTTGGAGCCACATGAAGTGCCGAAGATTTGCTGACAGGTCACGGGGCAGACCCAGGTGTTATAGGTTGACTGTCTGAGTGTCTGGCAAAATGCACCACCTGTGCTCCTTACTGTGCCAACTTTCTGAATTTTAGCCACCCGGCGTTCCGCTCGTTGTTGTGAGCGTCGCTCCTCTGCCCTCCGTTGTTGTTGGAGGGCGACCGCCTCCAACTGCCCAAGTAGCGTCCGTCACGAGCCTCCTCCTTAAATGCAGATCTCGACACCGCTGGTACAATCGGCAAGTCCACTCAGCTCCACATCTTCTGTACCAGATCAGTCCATCTCTTCTCTAGCCCGTGCCGCACCATTTAGTCCCCTCTATCCGACCAAACAGCCGCTCCTTGGGTATGCGGTGGCTGGGCATGCGGTGGCTGGGCATGCGGTGGCTGGGCATGGGGTGGCTGGGGCATGAGGTGGCTGGGCATGCGGTGGCTGGGCATGCGGTGGCTGGGCATGGGGTGGCTGGGGCATGAGGTGGCTGGGCATGCGGTGGCTGGGCATGCGGTGGCTGGGCATGCGGTGGCTGGGCATGGGGTGGCTGGGGCATGAGGTGGCTGGGCATGTGGTGGCTGGGCATGCGGTGGCTGGGCATGCGGTGGCTGGGCATGGGGTGGCTGGGGCATGAGGTGGCTGGGCATGTGGTGGCTGGGCATGCGGTGGCTGGGCATGCGGTGGCTGGGCATGGGGTGGCTGGGGCATGAGGTGGCTGGGCATGCGGTGGCTGGGCATGCGGTGGCTGGGCATGCGGTGGCTGGGCATGCGGTGGCTGGGGCATGAGGTGGCTGGGCATGCGGTGGCTGGGCATGCGGTGGCTGGGCATGCGGTGGCTGGGCATGGGGTGGCTGGGGCATGAGGTGGCTGGGCATGCGGTGGCTGGGCATGCGGTGGCTGGGCATGGGGTGGCTGGGCATGGGGTGGCTGGGCATGCGGTGGCTGGGCATGCGGTGGCTGGGCATGCGGTGGCTGGGCATGCGGTGGCTGGGCATGCGGGCTACGTGACCCAACCAACAAAGCCTCGCCTGCTGGAGGAGCTCAATGATGGGACTGATCAGACCCTTTAAGGATCTGTGAGCTCACACAATCAAGTCCGGTTAAACCCAGGATGGATCGTAGGCAGGCCTGCCTGAATGTTGCAAACCGGTGCCAATGTTCCTTCAGAAGGGTTCACGTTTCGCAAGCATAGAGAAGGGAGGGCATAACTGAGTCGATTGGAGCGACAGGCCAGGCAGCTTCCACGTAGCGTGAGGCAGCTTCCACGTAGCGTGAGGCAGCCGATGCAAACATAACGCCGCTCCACTGATTCGGAGACCACTGCTGCCAACCCGGAACTAATCATCATCCTCCACTCCCCACGCAACTGCCCCATCAATCGCAAACACACACACCGCTCCCAAACTAAGTGGCGGCAATGTCACCAGGGCGCCTGTGCCTGGCTAGGTGCACTTGGACGCGAGGTGAAGCGTGGGAGGATCGCCGCCGACACGTCAGACTCCGGTCCCAGGGGTTGACCGCCCGAGATGACTGGCACACGCACCACCCCACCGCGGACACTCAACACACTCGCGGCGCCCGGCATCGCCGGCACGCGCGTTGCGCACGCACAGAGGTCGGGGCCTGTCCTCACCGCGCCATCGCCCTGGCAGCCAGAGCCGCCAGGGCGACCACGAGCAGCGCGGCGCCCACGGGAAGCCACAGCGGAGCCGCCGCCTCCTCCTCCTCGCCCTCCATGGCGACCGCGCAGCCGCCTCATGCCCGTGACGTCATCTACCAAACACGCTACATGACGTCACGCACGCGCGCGTTACCGCGAGAGGGGGCTGCCCTTGTGACGTCACTCGCAGCGGGCACCGGGAATGATTGTCCCCTGGTGAATGGGAACACTGCAACAAGTTAGGCAGATCTGAGCTCAGCTGTGAAAGAGGACCGCGGCACGGTCATTGCACAGCGCCGCTGTAGTTGTATTAATATCGAGTCGCATATGCTGGCAGCAATGCAGCCGTCGTGGCAGTGGATCGATGTCCTGGCGCTTGGCTCGCAGCTGTCGCCGAGCGCGATGCCGCCCCCGCGCTGGGCGCTGCGCGTGGTGGCCGCGCTGGCTCTGTGCCTGGGCTTCTGGTGGCTTCACAGGGGGCAGCGCGGCTTCCCGCCTGGCCCCAGAGGGCTGCCGCTGGTGGGAAACCTCTTGCAGTTGGACCTCAAGGCCATGCCCGCGTCCTTAGCCAAGGTGCGTGTTCATTGTTTGTCCTTTCTCGCACGGTTGGCTACGTACGGTGCGAAAAAAGTCTAAACGACATACACACATTGAGCTCCCCGGCACTCGCCGAGGTCAGCACTGCGAGTGGATGTACGTTCCATGTCTCTTGACATACTTTGGTAACTTAATGGTATACAAACACATTTTTCCCTACAAATTTAAATGTGTATTTGTATCCATTCCATCTCGTTCAATTTGTCATTATCGGGCACGTATGAGAGTGTAAATGTTTGAGAGAAATTCATCTTCGTTGCACATTTCTGATTTCCGTTCCTTAGTAATAAAAATTTCACCTTAAATAAAGACCCTTGAATATCGCAGGTTTATCGTTCGCGGTTTCGACCTAAAGAGGGCGACCTCTTTGTGCCAATTTAGCTGTCGCGGGGGTTCGGTTTGGCCTTTCGCGGGGGGACATTGTCCCCGCAAGTGCGGTGTCAGTGGCTGCGGATGCCGTGGTGCGAGGGGATGGCGAGGGGATGGCGAGGGGTGCGAGGGGATGGCGAGGGGTGCGGGGGATGCGAGGGGATGGCGAGGGGTGCGAGGGGATGGCGAGGGGTGCGGGGGATGGCGAGGGGATGGCGAGGGGATGGCGAGGGGTGCGAGGGGATGGCGAGGGGTGCGGGGGATGCGAGGGATGGCGAGGGGATGGCGAGGGGTGCGGGGGATGCGAGGGGATGGCGAGGGGATGGCGAGGGGTGCGAGGGGATGGCGAGGGGTGCGGGGGATGCGAGGGGATGGCGAGGGGATGGCGAGGGGTGCGGGGGATGCGAGGGGATGGCGAGGGGATGGCGAGGGGTGCGAGGGGATGGCGAGGGGTGCGGGGGATGCGAGGGGATGGCGAGGGGATGGCGAGGGGTGCGGGGGATGCGAGGGGATGGCGAGGGGATGGCGAGGGGTGCGAGGGGATGGCGAGGGGTGCGGGGGATGCGAGGGGATGGCGAGGGGTGCGAGGCAGTCAGTGGCACCTCACAAGCTTCTCGCGATCCCCGTAGCCCTGCCGCTCCCCACTCGCGGACAAACACCCGCTTTGGATCGTCATCAGTAAGTGCAATATTTATTCAGTATGTATTCTGCTATTTATTGTATAGTAATGTTTTTGTAAAGGGCTTTTACTTTATTTCAATTATCTTTGTTTATTTGGCGTACAATACAATACTTATTTCAATTGTGAAGTGTCTGTTTTTGGTTGCCGTGTTCCTAATCCCATGATTGAGGTACGGCTTCAGTATTGAATATTGCGGTTTAGCTTTCGCGGCACTTTCCACGAATGTAACTCTCCGCAATATTCAAGGGTCTCCTGTACAGCGTATTTAAGCTTGTTTGAGGTCAAATACGTATTTATCATCATTCAAACCCCTCCAAATGTTGCATCGACTTTATTAAATTTTGTTATTTTTTTGTCTTCAGATGCTCTCTCCGGCTTCTTTTAAAATGTTTTTAACCTTCGACAATTCTTGGAACGCTTCCAAAAACGTCGTTTCAGGATGTTTTTCGGCACAACAGTTACAAATGTTAACATTTTAGCTTGCTGGTTAAGTCCTAATTTGTGGAGGGACAAAGTAAAATAGAGTTTTCCGACTTGAAAATATTTGCCATATTTCAATGAGCAACCTTCGAATGCTCCCGATACAAACTTTTGTAGGCGTCGGTTGAGAAAAAATGTGTATCTCGAGTGGCTTGGCGGCCCAGCAGTCAAAGTGCTGGGCTCGCACTGCTGCGATTCTGGGATCAAATCAGGCTAACGACCCCCACGCTTCACCCGGGTTCTCAAGAGCAGTTCGTTGATAGCCTCGCTCTCATCACAAATACTTGCACACAAACATCAGATATGGTCTGTACATTTGCTATTATTCAAACAAGACGAGGGGTTCACTGTGGGTAGCTTAGGTTATCGTTATTGAGGCTACATTTCACTCAGTCGACCCCACTGCATAAACCGATCTCCTTGGCCCGAAAGCCAGGAGCGTAAAGGGCAATGAAGCTCCATACTTAAACTATGTAATTTCATGGCCTGGAAAGCAATACTGCTGTACATTTGTAAACCCCATGACCCACCTACCTCACCAATTTAAATCATATTTCCAATTTCGTTTTTCTAATTTTGCCAATTTTTTTTACAACTCCCATCACTTAGTCACCAGCCTAGCTGAGTTGCTATAAATGTATGTATGTTTAAATTTTCACACCGTATCTAGCCAATCGTGCTAATCGGAGGTGCGAATCAATGAGGTATGTCCACATACCAGTTCACGTACCATCTGGAAATCGCGATGTTTAAACTTTTGATGTTTATTATTTTATGTTCAATAATCGTTTTCTGACAAAAACAAGTCTAATGCTTCCTTTGGTCTCATTGTGCCGTCCCTCCCATTGGCTCTCAGCTCTCAGAGACTCATGGTCCAATTTTCAGTGTATCTTTAGGACAGACGCAAGTTGTGATTTTAGCCGGCAATGACATCATCAAGGAAGCTCTCGTTACCCAAGCTGAGATGTTTATTGACCGCCCCGAAATACCCATCTTCAAAAAGTCTTTGGGAAATTACGAAGGTAAGAAGGCATTCTTTGTACCTCATTAAATTCGTAGCGCGTAGAGCGCTGGATTGCGATTGGCTCAGAGCAAATGGGCACTACGTTTGGGACCGCCCCTTACACCAGACACGTGACCTGGATGAAGATCACGGCCTGAGGAAGGATACGCAAAGGGCACGGGCCACCCTGTGACGCGCACACGGCCACCCTGTGACGCACACACGTGACGCACACACGTAACGCACGCACGGCCACCCTGTGACGCACGCACGGCCATCCTGTGACGCACGCACGGCCACCCTGTGACGCACACACGTGAAGCACACACGTGACGCACACACGGCCACCCTGTGACGCACACACGTGACGCACACACGGCCACCCTGTGACGCACGCACGGCCATCCTGTGACGCACGCACGGCCACCCTGTGACGCACACACGTGACGCACACACGTGACGCACGCACGGCCACCCTGTGACGCACACACGTGACGCACACACGTGACGCACGCACGGCCACCCTGTGACGCACACACGTGACGCACACACGTGACGCACGCACGGCCACCCTGTGACGTGCACACGGCCACCCTGTGACGCACGCACGGGTCAGCAACGTGGCCATTAACAAACAACATGCAACAAAAACTGACAAAGTGTGCAAAGGTGCATGCCTAGATTTATATTGAAAGACAGAAACATGGATAAGAGTACATTTATAGGTTGATTTTAGGTAGTGCATTGTCTGCTAAATGCATCTTCATCATACATGATTATCTTGTGTAATAGTCGTAACTAAGATTCATGTCAATCACACATCATAGGAAGACGACGATAATCTGAAACACTCATAGGATGGGCTCTGCATATACAATGATCATACGAATACCAAGGCTAAGGGTTGTAATAACGCGATCGTGATTCTCTCAACACGCTCCTCTCACCGGCGCCAGGCCTGCTGCTGAGTCATGGGTGGCAGTGGAGAGCGAGGAGGCGCTTCACCCACATGATGCTGAGGAACCTTGGGATGGGCACGAAGAGCATTGAAGAGAAGATCGCTGAGGAGGCCGAGTTTCTAGTGCGAGCTCTAGAAAACAAAGAAGGTATCCAATGCACGACCGCAATAAAGGAATGTTGTACCTGTGCAAAACCTTCATGGGCGAATGTCAGCATTAATATCGAGTGTATTTCAGTGGTCGTTGCTTTGTTTCTGACAGCATTCTAATCGTGCTGAGGTGCGTGTTCGTAAATTAGAGGTGGTGACGTGGTCCAGTCGTAGCGCGCGTTCGCCACGTGTTGCCCATCTCGGCAATTGTCCCCCCCCCCCCACCCTGCACGCGTCCCACCCAGCGTGACAGTCGACGCCGAATCACGTCCACAGCCGTCGCCTGCCCTCTTCTCCTCGGGACTCTGCGTCGCTTGTCCTGCACCGTCACGGAATTCCCAGCGTCCGTGTCGGACTCCGGCGCTCGAACGCCGACAACTTATTTTCGAGCCGCTGAGCGTCCTGCTCCTCTCTGATCCCCACAGTGACAGGGATAGAGCACCCGTGCCTCCATTACCACACTCGGACTCATCTCTCTTCTCTGACGTGGTGGTTTCCGTAGCCCATCAAACGCCTGCTTGCTAAAGAAATGCACCTCTTGGCCTCCTCACAGCACCCTGCATTGTGGACCTCACTGCATCACTTAACAAAGTCCTCTAACCTCATCAACGTTGGGAGAATGTGGTGTTGTGGTGTTTGCATGGAAAAGCATTCATCTAGTAGTTGAGAAGATGTTTATTATGGTAATGATGTCTATATATTATTTTGACCGTACTACTTCTCCCAACTTCTTCCCATGCACTAGAAAAACCTTTTGATGCACATTCCGAAATCATCAACTCAACGGCAAATGTAATCTGCTCCATCATATTTGGAGACCGCTACGACTGGAATAATAAAACATTTGTGAAGCTCGTGAACATTATCAA